AAACTGAGGAGATACAATAAAAGGGGTTCTTTTTAGCAGTTAACGCGCAAACTTGTGTCTTCTGGGGGTTAAACTGGACTAGATTTAGTCGCCCCCAATCCGAGACGCTGTTCAACAAAGACTCGACTTCAGACACAAGTTTGTCCCGGCATTCGGAGACGTTTTCCCGAGAAATATTAGCTCGGCCGGTGTAAAGAGCATCACCAGTGCTGTCATCTGCATAGCAATGAATGTTACGAGTTTGCAACATATCATTGATATGCAGAAGAAACAGCGTTGGCGATAGCACGCAGCCTTGTGGAACACCAGCATTAATAGGCTTGCAATCGGAGCTTGCATCGTCTACAACGACCTTCATGCCCCGATCTGCAAGGAAGCTGGTGATCCAATCGCACAATTTCTCGGAAAGCCCATAGGAAGGGAGCTTCGAAAGAAGCGCTTTGTGACAAACCCGATCGAAGGCCTTCGCAATGTCCAAACTAACGGCCAATGCCTCCCCCTTGGACTCTACTGCCTCCGCACATCTGTGTGTTAGGTAGACCAGAAGATCACCAGCTGACCGACCACGGCGAAAACCGTATTGGTGGTCACTAATCAGCTGGTGATCCTCAAGGTACCTCATGAGCTGGCAGTTTACAATGGTCTCCATTGTTTTGGAGAACAAGGAGGTGATGGCGATAGGCCGGTAGTTGGACGGGTCTGAGCGGTCGCCTTTTTTAGGGATCGGGTGGACGAAAGCCGTCTGCCATGATTTGGTTTCAATTCAATTCAATTCAAAGCATTTCAATAAAATTGAATTGATAGCTGACCTGACTACACAAAAAAAGCGTTTACTGTTTTAAAACTCAAACTAGAGAGTAACTAGGCGTGTGTAACTCTTTACGGAACTGACTCGCTGAATGAAATCACTGAAGTGTTTCAAAAGATTGGTTGAGTAACAACGTTTCATATGCATCATTTGGATCTGGAGCATTACTTTGCTTTGTGCTCATTTAGCGCGACGTGTTTCGCTCGTGAGGCGACTGAGCCACGAGCGAGAGAGTGGCGAGTGAGCGTGCGAAATAATTACAATCTATACAAGTCAGAAAGAGATAACCAAAGAGAAGTGTATCACTCAACCCGTACGGATTTTCGCAATAGTTATTCATGCACGTAAAAATGACCACTAGAGGCGCTTACGTATCAAATACTACACGTTCGTCTTTTGCATATAATGTTTACATTAACAAGTTGTCCTTTTACGTTAATCCAGCACTTGTCAAATTCTTTATGTTCTTTTTCGCCTGTTTACGAAAATATATGAGTTCTGTTTAGGATTTCTTCGCGTAGTGATTATTGTGACTTATTTTCTTCCTTTTCATCATAAATAATACGCCAACTTGCCATAAATTAAGGACTAGCCCCCAGTCCTAAGCCTGGATAAAATATAAAGGAGGATCGATTTTATATACAACCTTATTACGGTGCACAATAAATAACAATAACCATATAATATATGACACTAACATAAGCACTCATATCATTCAGCATTGTTGCCACATAACATTTCACTGAATCAGTCAGTAATAAACGCCCGCGACGCAACTTAATGTATTCGTAACATTCTGTAGATTATATCTTTGAGTAGATGATTCAAATGAGCCAAATGAAACATATCCGTGCTTCAGAACATTTCAGTGATCGATATGCAAATCTTCCAACCGCAAAATGATACACTTTGCCCACCTCGAAGAATTACCGTAACAAGAAATTGTATTGTATATTAGTGATAGATGAAATGAAAATAAAACTATTTTCGGAGTACCATGCAAGTTCTAAAAGACATTTTGGTTATGATAATTTTAGGATTTGACTTCATTTCTGACAATTCGGAGAATGCTACTAATGCTTTAGCATTTTAATTAATGGGAATTAATATTTCTTTTAAAGTACCCATTGGGTACTTCTTACTAAAGGGTACAAGTGCTGACCTAAAAGCAGCCCAACTCTTCCGCCATAATGAGGATGGTTTTCGTACCATCACATGTCAATGCCTTTATTTCGATGCCAGATTCGTAAACAATATAGAAAGCTTGTGTTACTAGCCGTGCTTTTAATTCAGTACTCGTACCCTTAATCAAAATGTTGGGTATGGTTTATACCGACCAATAAAAACACTAATGCGTCTGTAGCTTCATCAGAATTATCGGATATAAAATTGAACCTGTAATCATTATATTTTTACGTGGTAGAGTTATACTACTGCTATATTAGTAGTATAGTTGTAGCAGGAATGGGTCGGCTCGACCGGGGAAGGACTACGCTCTCACAGAATACCAGCGTCAAATAGTAGCTTAATGCTGCTGTGTTTCGTATGGTGAGTGTGGAGAACCGGATACCCTTTTTACTGGAAGCGAGGCATTCCATCTTGGTCCTCACGGGTGACAACGCATCTGTATTTTAATTCGTAATCGAGGATAGATTTAGATGTCTATGGGCCGCGGCAGCCACTTGCCATCAGGTGGACTGTGTGCTCGTTTGTCACCCTATCCAATAAAATAAAATCAACACAGCCATAATGCCTTTGGCTGCTTTGGTATTTGGTCAATTGCTTAATTTTTATTTCATCCATGACCAAGGTACAATAATTTTTTTTATCAGGGTTACTCTCCGCTCTCAATTTTAATGCCGTCATCGCTTCTTGAGTAAGCCCTGATCAGCCATCGATGGTACTGTACCACTTAGTCAATGTCCGTGGTGTGCAGGAAAACATGTTCCAAAAGTTTTGCGTACATAGTGATAGGCTTTTGGTGAGTAATAATTAAGTGTTAGGGCAAATCATCTTAATATTAATCATAAATCAAATAAAGGTGTATTTAAAAGTTTATTGATTGTATTTATAAAAATCAACTATTTACATACACTATTATATACACTTTTATATCTATATTTTATGCTGGTATTCTGTGAGAGCGTGGTCCTTCCCCGGTCGAGCCGACCCATTCGTGCTACAATCATAATATAGCTGCAGCGTGGCTCTACCACGTATAAAAAATATATCCTTTTTAATATTATTGTTATAATAATAGCCACGCAAGTTTATTCTTTATTTCGGTCCATTTTAGACATATCTGCACTTAACAGTTTTGTGCCCAATATTGTCGTGATCCATAATGAACGTGTAGGGTGAGTCGATATGGATCGCGATACGTCATTCCAGATCGTGATAAATATCACGCGTGTAACATTCGCCCAAGATGAAGGAGAGTTTTGGCTGAAACTTGGCAGTTGACGGATAGTTGCTGCTGTTTTATCCATAGATTTAGTATAAACACCAGTTGGAGTTTAGGAGTTTATACTAAATCTATGATTTTATCGCTAAAATAATGGTTTCAAGTGGATTTTGATTCGTAAAAGTGATGCGATTTTGTGAATTAAGTGTCTAGGCTTGTAAACCATTAGAGAAAACGACGAAACAAGTGCTTCGATGTTGATATAAACCTCAAGTTATTTTGATTGCTTAGGCGCTTTATGAACTTGAATGATTATCGTCATCAACTATCCGCTGCACTGAGCTGTCGTCAAAATTTCCCAAAAACTTCACAATGGGTGCGTTTGGCAGAAAAAAGCGCTAGCAAGCGCTTGTAAGCAAAATGGCGATCGTAAGCGGTAAGCGCTGTCAAATCGAAAGTAGCTATTTTCCTCTAGGACACGAAGTTAGTTTTAAGCGAGGGACCTAACCTAATTTAAATATATGTTTGTAAAGTATTCATATTAAAAACTTATTAAACATGAATTTTTAATAACATGTATATGTCTATTCATGTCATTATATTACTTAAAACTAATATTGCACAAAAAAACCTTATAAACTCTACTTCAAAACAAACAAATTAAATAAGCAAAATGGCGGATTGTGTCAGCGCTACTGAAGTAGCCATCGTGTCCTGGCCGAAAACTATTTCAGCGCTTGTAAGCGCTTGCTAGCGCTTTTTTCTGCCAAACGCTCCCAATGTCTCCGAAAGAAATGATAGTCTCAGAAGGGCTAGATCCCAGAGCTTTAAAGCCATATAAATAAATAAAAAAGTAAAAGTATGATATTATAAATTAAAAAAAAACCTCACAACCCCATTTATAATTTTTTTTTAAAATAAAAAAAAAAAAAAAGTAAAAAAAAAATAAAAAAAACCAAACAAAAAAAACCCCCCCCCCCATTATAATAAATATGATATTATTAGTTTGTGGATAGTAATCGTAGACTAATATATACCTATATAGTGATCTGTGGATAGTAATCGTAGACAGAGTACGATAGTAATAATAGGAGTAGTACTCCGATAGGAGTAATAGTGTTCTGTGATAGTAATTATGTTATTAAGTAGTAAACATAGTCAGTAATCTATGTAGTAAACACAGAGTACTTTGTAGTACTGAAAGTAGGTAGTAAATTAGCACAAGTAAATTGGGTAGTTGCTTAGTTGGGTAGTAAATTGAAAAATGAACTACATAGTGCAATAAATAATTGACAATATTCTGAATTTAAGTTTAATTTATTCACGTACACGTACAGGTAAAAATAAGTAACATTTATAGATTTGTCGTATTGTCATAACTCGTTTTTTTTTGTTTTTTGTAAAAAAAAGCCAAAACAAAAAATCTAATTATAAACTCTTTTTTCAGATTTATTAACAATATGAGGCAAGCCAGGACAGACTTAACTTATTTTGCGAGATTATAATTTTAAGCAATTTGCTAAACCTGTGATAAAGATGAATACTACCAGCAAAGAGACTATAATAAAAATTGAGGACACAAAAATTACAAAAGAGAGTCAAAAGACAGAAATTAACATATTATGCTTTGATATAACACCATACAGTCAACTTGTACAGTTTCTATATTGTTCTGCATTTGTATTTGTATGCTACTTAGCATATGGATATTTTCTTGAATTAATATTTTCTGGGGCTGAGGTGAAACCTGTCAGCCTTTATATAACATTAGTACAATTTTTGATCACAATGCTGCTCAGTTACATGGAGTCTTTAATAAGAAATCCCATAAAAAGAAAGTGAGTAATATCAATATTATATCGAAATAGTTTGTATTGATAATTGATAACATGGAAACCAGTTGGTTTTTATAGTTAGTTAAAACAAATAATGTGAAACAACTACAACTGTTTATTTAGATTACAAAAAAATGGTTTTAGGGGTTGGTTATAGACATCCGGTACTTGATTTTGATAATGTTTTTAGTCTAGGAGGCTTGTTAGAGCTTGAACCTATTACACTGTTTTTAGATGGCGGAAATGCGTTGTTTTGAATTAATTACGATAAAAACAAATTTCACTAAAAATTGTGTTTATAACGAAACGCAAATATGTCAATTTGTTCTCGTATTATAAAGTAGATGTCTGGTACTTGATTTTTAATTTTGTTTTCAATTTATGAGGATTGTCAGGGTTAAGCTTGAACCATTTACACTGTTTTTGGATTTCAGAAATGCCTTTTGAATTAATTATGATAAAAATAAATTTCACTAAAAATTGCAATAACAAAACGCAAATTTGTCAATTTGTTTTTTTAACACAGATAAACTTATAAAATAGTTAATCACTCGGACCCAGACAATTCATTTGTGGCTGGAGACTGGACTTATTTACAACAAATTGAGTCACAGTGGAGAGCAGTGAAGGGGTTTTACAGAAAACAAAATTATAACAATTCACATAACATTATTTTATTCACCACTATATATATACACCACTATATATATACACTATCATAGCAGAGTTTAGGGCAACCAGACTTTATAGATAAGATTGGTCGAATCGTTTCTAAAACCGAATTAGCACACCCCAACTCCACATAGTCTTGTCTGCCTTACCCCTAGAGTGTTTTTTGTAAATCCTTAGGCACGGAGGGAGAGCAGCCACTGCCCGCTGTAGCAAATCGCAGGCACTGGATCGTAGGCTGCGGAGGCGAGCATGGGTGCCTGTGATTTTCTACGCAAGGGTGAAGGGGCTGCATTTCCCGCAGTGCTGAAGCCGTTGCAAAAGTAACTTTGCGTCTATATTCCTGTATAAAAAAGTGAGGTTATGATTTACAAAAAAAAATATTACTCATAAACTATACATTTCCGCAATGGGGGAAGGGTAGTGGGGGTTTCCCTTGACCCCCTCACCTGCCCCTCCCAACACCGTACGCGAGTGCCGGACGTCTATAATTTAACCAGTTTGAGTTCCACTGAGTGATAACAATAGCAAATATAAATTTGCAAGTGAAAATTGAATTGCAATAAAATTGTCATCCACATGCTCGGCGGCGTAGAAAAACGTTATGCAGAAAACAGCATGTCTGAGAAATAAGTAAAAAATATTTCGAAGACATGTGAAGTTCGCCAACATGTATTGGGGTAGCGCGGTGGATATTTCCTTGTCCTAAAACCCTCTCAGAAATGAGAAGAGTCCTGTGCCCAGCAGTAGGATATATATAGGCTTTAACATAAGTACAACATATAAAATTGTTATCCAGTTATTATCACATTTCATCTGACACTGTCAGGCTTCTATCACTCTTGCTATCTACGTGAAATAATTACCTAAAATTGCGACGCACTCGGCCGAAAAAACGCAGTCAGGGCTAGCATGTTGGAGGCGATTGAATTTTAAAGTTTTTAATGCTGTTTACGTTTATAACTTTTTGTAAATTTGTTGAAATAGTTTATGTTTAGTGTTTAGTATATTTAATTATAGGATAAAATAGTTCAAAAGTTTTAATGTAATTTAAGAACTATATATTATCGACATTACCCATTATTTCATAAATTTTATTTGGCAAAACGTCTTCCCTACTACATATAATTGTTGCGTGGATAGACGCTAAATGACCAACAAAATATTTCAGATATATCATTCTTTATTACCGAAGGATTTTAGTAGGAAGTTATAAAACGTGAATTTATTTAATTTTTATTGTTAGGAACTTATAGCAAAAAAGAATTAAGTAATAATTTATTTCATATCTACGAACTTTATTACAAAATTTAGTAGAAATTTACTTCACTATGCAAGTATCTACTTACGTACATATACTTGCCTTTTGAATAAAAATATATTAAGTTGTCTGTTCTTTTAGCTTAAAATATTTTAAGCTTGAAATGACATCCCTTAATAACCACGGAAAGTCAAACATTACTATAACCATTTTATTTGGATTAACGGTTAGGTCATATTCCCTGCACCATCTCTCCACAATACGGAGAGCCGCTTGAGTCAGGTCGCACACAATGCTTGCTGTCTTACCAGAGACCAGTATTGTCAGATCATCTGCATAACCGACTGTGTAGAAATGGTTAGCGTTTAATTTGCTGATGAGTTCATTATTGACCATATTCCACAGGAGAGGTGAAAGAACCCCACCATGTGGGCATCCTTTCATGATCTGAAAAGCCTGAGATTCACCAGCAATCTTTATTGTTCGTGTACTGAGCATGTTTACTATCCAGTCAATCAGTGCTGGTTCAACATTATGTCTACTTAGGGCACCTTTTATGAACAACTTTATTACAAAATTTAGTAGAAGTTTACTTGACTATCCAAGTATCTACTTACGTACATATACTTGCCTTTTGTATTAAAATATTTTTAGCTGTTCTTTTAGCTTAAAATATTTTAAGCTAAAATAACACAAAACACTGAAATGACATCCCTTAATAACCACAGAAAGTTCGCCGTGACTTAGGAAGCGGAAAAGATGCAAAGTAATATGGACACTAACATGCAGCGATAAAGTTTTATTTAGCTTGCGTGCGCGATTTATCTGATTAATAATAATTATGTAGGCTATTAAACGTCGGCAAGCAGTTGACATCAAAGAAGTGCTGTATGTAGAAGAACTTCTGTATGTAGTACTATTATTTATTCTGTGACAGTCCCCTTTAAACTGGAAAATAACAGGTCAAGGGGGTAGTGTCTGCATATTACTCAGTAATATTAATGTATTTTTATATTTTCTAATCTATATATTACAGGTTTTCGCAGCTGCACATTAGTGCCCCAGTAATATGAATATATTTTTATTTTTTTCTAAACTAATTGATGCTATATTAATCCCCTTTTTATTATAATACTGCTCCTACCTCTTATAAGATCCCATTTTGGTTATTTATACTTAATTAAAGTGGTAAGAAATATATCAGCTATATTTATAACTTACTTGTATAGATAACAAGATATAGCTTAAATATTGTTACAAGCTCAGTGTTTGTTACAATAAAAACTGCCGATTGAATTACCAAAATTGAGACTTTAATTACTGAACACTTTACACAAAATTATTAAAACTTAAAACACACTAGTAATTAATCACACTTAACACTGTATTTCGCTTATGTCGCTAATTCAATACTGCTCTGGTCGCGCTCCTTACCGACTTTATATAGGACCGTTTCCATCAAAAACATCTAGAATATTCGAGCAGAATGTCGAAAGTTCTAGCAAAGCATCCTCCAGAAAGCCCTCGCCACTCCACACTAGATGGCGCTAGTGAGAAAGTTCTAGAAAGATCTTGACGCTCTTATTTCTGCTACTTGATACTAGATGGCGCTAATAATCACCCGCCACATACCGGGCATTAACTACTACCACTAATATGTATTGTTACAATATATATGTATGAGTTATAAGTTATAAGTCATAGGGGGCGTCCATTAATCACGTGATTTGTTTAGCATTTTTAACACCTCCCCCCTCCCTCTTGGTGATACGTGGTGAGGCTTAAGACTAACCCCCATTCCCAAAATCACGTGTATTTTTTAGTACCTATAAAGTATAATCTAGTTTTATTCTGAAATTAAGGACCCATGAGAAAAATGTGTAGACAGAAAGGTTGTAGGTTGTTTTCGACTGGCATAAAAATAATATTAAAGGAATGGTGTAATCATGCGAAAAACATTTATTGTACTAGTATATGAACGTATTTAATCTACATCGTCCTTGGACCACGGATTAGCAAGACTTTCTTCAACACTAACAACTGGATAAGCATCTTGCAAGTCAGTTGTTAGCACTAATTTGTTGAAGATAAGCGTCGGTTTCATCAAACCATTCGGAGTCATCATTTTCGCTCACTACACAGAGAATCTCACGCGATCTACCGATCGATCTTCGCGTGAGGATGCGTGAAGGACGAACATTATCCATCTCTAGACTATTATTGCTCGGATGAGGTTCATGCTTGTGACATGAATTTACATGTACAGGCGAGTCAAGGTCACATCACACGCCGCTTTAGAAATCGCGCGTTTGACGAAAAAAATACACATGATAATTTTACTACACCCTCCTCTCCCCTGATGTTTGTCATACCCCCTCCCCCCTTTCGAGTGTCACGTGATTAATGAACGGCCCCATACATATTTAAAACATTCTTTTATTTATGATTAAATATTATTTTAAAAATCATTTTGCATTCTTTCAGAGTTCCTCTAAGGACCTATGCAATTTTAGCAGCTTTAACCCTGGGCACCATGTCACTGTCTAATCTAGCTTTAAGTTACCTGAATTATCCAACTCAATTAATATTTAAGAGTTGTAAGCTCATTCCTGTGATGATAGGCAGTATTGTTATATTGGGAAAGAGATATAGTTTTTTGGACTATTTGGCTGCTGTAATTATGTGCATTGGACTTACAATGTTCACTCTAGGTAAGTTCTTATTAATTTCCTTATAAACCAAAAATGAATACATCATCATTATCATCATTATAGCCCTTCAAAAGTCCACTGCGGAACATTGGCTTCCCCCAAGTAATGCCACAAAACATGGTCTTGAGCCACCTGCATCCATCGACTTCCTGCATGTCTTACCAGGTCGTCACTCCATCTAGTGGGGGGTCGCCCTACCCTACGCCTACCGGTACGAGGTTGCCACTCGTACCTACATCTCTCCTATATAAAAGTAATCTTATGTTTTTTATACAATAGAACAACTTAAACAATAGAAAGTTTATCTATTACTTTCATATTTAAGGTTTTTTATTGCATCTATCTTACCTGCAGTAACCAAAATCCAATGGCATTGTATTGGATTGATTTTGGTGTTATGGTTGAAATGTAGTCATAGCCATACATACATACATACTACTGAAAATTATTAGTTTCTGCATGTTTAATCTTGTTGAGTCTACAAGTGTACATTATAAATAAATATTTTAATTGAAACTAGGTTTTTATAGATTTAAAAAAAAAAAAAAAAAAAAAAAAAAAAAAAATATTTTTTATTTTTATCCTAAAAAAAAAAATACTCGGCTGTGTCTGTTCATTTCAGCCGATTCGAAAACTTCGCCTAACTTTGACGCGATAGGCGTGCTAGTTATTTCGCTGGCGTTATTATGCGACGCCATTATCGGCAATGTGCAGGAGAAGGCGATGAAACAATTCCATGCCTCTAACAACGAAGTGGTTTTCTATTCGTATGCTATTGCTTGCTGCTATCTTTTAGTTATAACTGGTACCAGTGGGATCTTCGTAAACGGATTTGCATATTGTTCCAAGGTAAATATATGTTACTTCATTTTCTAAATTACTCTTAGGACTATTCTTTTGTGTGTAAAAAAGCTATTGTAATGTAATTTGAACTGGATTATCTTTTATCCTGTACAGCTTTAATAAGAGCTGTAGAATTATAATTTTTTAAACGTTAAAAAAAAGTTACACCCACACTAGGATATTCTCTTGTGTCGTGGAGGCAGTTTACATACATAAATTGCACAAGGACAAACATCCAGACCCGGAACAATTACTTGTAGGCCATACAAATACTTGTTTCGTGCGGGATCCGAACCCGCGGCCCTCAGCGCTATATCTCATTGCTAAGCTACTGCGCCATGGAGCCGTCAAATACCTAACCCATGTAGACAACCCCAATTACTCACCATGTAATTATGTCAAATGGCATACATACGTAAATAAACGTTATCTTTTTAGAAATTATCATTTGAAATAGTGCTAATACTTGTTCCTTCTGCTATCCATTAACCACTACCTCATATCACCATGATGATATCGTAAAATAGTGCAAATACTTGTTCCTTCTGCTATCCATTAACCACTACCTCATATCACCATGATGATATCGTAAAATAGTGCAAATACTTGTTCCTTTTGCTATCCATTAACTACTACCTCATATCACCGTGATGATATCGTAAAATACAGGAACAAGGCAAAATTATAAAACTTTCTGGCTGCCAATCCGCGTGCTAATCATAGCAAAATCCTCGTTATGAGGCAATCTATTGGTCAGGCTTATGTTCAACAGTGGACTAATAATAGGCTGTAATGGATTGATAGATGGAGAACATAACATAACATAACATAAACACTCACGCCTGTCACCCAGAGGGGTAGGCAGAGACTACAGACTTCCATTTGGCACGATCCTGACACACCTCTCTCGCCTCCTTCACATCCATACACCTACGCATACATGCTCGTCGGTTAAGGGTACTCCTAATTTGGCCCGTTTTCAATAAATCGCCAATTTGGTCGACAAACTTCCGCCTAGGACGTCCCTTTCTGACTCTGCCATTCACTTCTGCAACATAAATTTTCTTTGTCACTCTTTCCTCATTCATTCTTTCCACATGACCAAACCACCGAAGCATTCCTTTCTTAATCCTGGTCACAACATCATCTTGCAAACCACACTCTTCTCTTATTACACAATTTCTTACCCTGTCGTTCAGATTCAGCCCTAACATACTCCTTAAGGACCGTATTTCTACTGCGTTGATTCTACTCTCGTGCTTCTTCTGCCACACCCAACTTTTACTACCATACGTTAAAGTAGGGACCAACACAGCATTGTGAATTGCCATACGTGCCTTTTTTGACACATTTTGACTCTTCACAATAGAGTGCAGGGCCCCATTTACTCTATTTCCCGCATTCACTCGTCGTTCTATATCCTTATCATATCTCCCATCCCTGCTAAATACGCAGCCCAAATGGAGGATGATAGATGGAGAGCCTTAGTTATTTCTGTTTATATTAAACATATGTTGTCGAAAATATGACGATAAGTGTCAAGTAAGTAGGAAAAAATCTACCAACTGCGAGCTATTATGGCATGCGCTGCCAAAACCGCTAGAGTTACACATATGGCACGACGACGCCGGCGGTGGTGGACAAACGGTGCGGAGGCGGGGCGGGCGGTCCGGCGCACGGTCCGGTGCACGGCGGATGAGGTGGGGTCTACTGGACCTAAAAATTATGTATTTTTTTATTACTTCTTTTCTACGCCGCGCTAATATAAGTTACTCGAAATACTAATCCTGCGCAGACGAAGTCGCGGGCACCAGCTAGTAACGATATAAAAACTAAAAATATCGATTATGTAACCGTTGCAACTAATAACTGAAAACGGCCATGCTTACAACTTTTGCTTGTGTTACCTGGACTTGATATCGCATTTGTGTTGACGACTTTGGCTGCGTTTCCCTGGACCTTATTATTTATTGTTCTGCCAAATATGCCGTATGTGTATACTGCTCAAGAATATGCGAACATGCGTATTATCTATGGTGAATACCATTGTAACGGCTCTGCCGCAGCCAGCTTGTATAGGGAGAGATTACCAAATGCGGCACGTCACCCAGATCACCGCGTGTTCATAAATGTGCACCATTTGTATTCACAAGGACGAATGCCAAGTGCTCGTACGGCAGGTGGGAGACCACGACGAAACGAAGATGACGTAATTTTAATGAAATTGAAAATGATCCCAGCAATTCAGTACGTGCAATTAATTGAAAGAGACACTGGAATATCGAAAAATATTGTTCATCGAATTTTAGAGCGATACGAAAATCACCATGTGCCAGGATCGATTTTTGCAGAACAATGTTGGCGAGATATCGCGAAGATCCGTAATTTCTTAATAAGATTTTATGGACTGATGAACGATCTTTAAAAAAGACGGTTATTTCAACTTACACAACGTTCACGGTTGGCACATAGAAAATGTTTAATGCGTGAAGATCTCTCCCAATACCAATTTAAAGTGAATATGTGGACCGGAATTTTAAACAGACAATTAATTGGACCATTTGAGCTGCCTGAAAACCTAAATGGCGACAACTACCTTAATTTTTTACAAAATCATTTGCCGAATTTATTAGAAGACTTACTACTTAACATCTACCGGGATATGTGGTTTCAAGTTTCAACAAGATGGTTGCCCAGCGCATTATGTTCGTACAGTACGGGATCATCAGAAACAGAAACTTTTTTATTCAATGTAGATTATAACAATACTTATTGAAAGTCACTTTTTTCATTTACCACTGGTTCGCAAAAAAAACCTCTGTCCTGGGAAGAACCAGCAAGAAACCCAGCGGGACTATTTTTTTTTCTAATAATAGCTTACAATTATGTTTACAATAAACAACACAAGACAAATTAGAAATAGCTTGGTAGCGATCACCCTTCCTTATCATCCATAAATTCCTTAATATTATAATAACCCTTTTTATACAAACTTAGTTTAATAACATTTTTGAACTTCGTGTATGACAAATTTTGTATATTTTCTGGGATTTTGTTGTAAAAGCGTATACATCGCCCCAAGAATGAATTACTGACTCGGTGAAGTCGAGTAGCTGGTACTACTAGCTTGTGTGTGTTCCTAGTATTTACAGAATGAATATCACTTATTTTCGCAAAACTACTTTTATTTTTGTGTACGTACATTACATTTTCATAAATGTATTGAGAGGCCAGAATTAATATATTAATTTCCTTAAATTTTTGTCTCAGTGACTCTTGGTTTTAAATTATATATTGCTCTAATGGCCCTCTTCTGTAAAATAAATATAATTTCAGTGTCAGTCGCGTGTCCCCATAGCAAAATACCATACGACATAATGCTATGGAAATAACTAAAGTAAACTATTCTAGCTGTTTCAACACTGGTAAGACTTCTAATCTTTTTCACAGCATACGCTGCAGAACTAAGTCTGCTAGCTGGTTTTGATATATGGGGGAGCCATTGAAGCTTTGCGTCCAGTGTGATTCCAAGAAAAATGGTGGTATCAACAAGAATCAGTTCCCCCCCATTTAAAATTACATTAGTTACAAGTTTAACATTAGGAGTTACGAATTTCATACATTTAGTTTTAGTTCCATTCAAATGCAAATTATTAACATTAAACCAATTGACTAACTTAGCTATAGCATTATTTACTTCGTCGTAATTTCGTCATCTAAACACATAATATCCCGATGGCCTCCTCGTTCTCCGGACCGAAAAAAAAGTGTATTTGAAACCAATACATAATCTAGCCGAACTACGCCGCAAACTAGCTGATCAGCAGAAGAAATAAACTCAAGGAGATACGCACGATTAAATTCGATTAAATTAAAAAGATCTTTTCTGAGGTGATGCCGAGCCTGTATTCGTGCCGAAGGCAAAGGCAAACAGTTTAAACGTTTAATTTAGTTTTAAGAGCGCATATTCAAATATGTCCAAGTCGAAATCTACGCGATCGCTTTGGAACGGCGTAATAATGACGCACACTACAATGTTATCTCTGTGTGCGTGTCAGGGCGAGCGTGAGGCTATAATAGTTGCCTAACGACGACTACGAATCACTTTGATCGTTGATTATATACCTGTCTTTGATACTGTTGGAACTAAAATAATAAAAAAATAATTTCCATATATTGGCTCACTTATATAGTGTATAGAAATCGGAGGCTAATATGTGGAAATTGTTTTAGGTATTCTTTTAGTAAATTGAAGTCGGCTTTACATTTTCACCCTATTGAGTATATTATAATATGTATATGTTCTAATTGAAAAATATGTATTGTATAAAATATATATCATTTGATAAACCTTTATTCTGTTTCATAATGTAAACATAATTCATCAAACTAACAATTTCATTAGTGTCGGCGGGGATTATTAGTGTTGCCAGGTCTAGCAACTAAAATTTCGGGACGGAAGGTAAAAATAATCGGGTTGGTTTTCATATCCGGACAACTACAATGACTACAAAATATAGGTTTCTTTGTAGCCTTTTTGTGCTTTATTGAGAGCCGTGGTAGCTCAGATGGTCAACGCTCACTTTAAATATCACAGTATGCGAGTAATGCGAGAAATTGTGACTGTAACTTTACTTTTGTGCTTTATAATTATTATTCGGGTCTGATCTCATAAACGAATAACTTTTCATCCAAACATCGTAAAAACTGAATTTTTTTTAATTTTAGGCAAATTAAAACATTTTTGAACTATTTGTTTTTTTTTTGCAGTCCCTGAATTTTTCAAATCACTCATTTTAATATAATTCTGTTTAAAACTTTTGTAGGTTTTTTACAACTGGTGAGACAATGTCGTAGTAAAAATATTTTAATGTGGTAGTAGCTAACAGATGTAATCATTTTTGCTGTCAAAATTATGGATTAAAGTATAAAATAAGAAGGTTAGTGAAAATCGGGACATTTGGCGTCCCGATCAAGGGTGAATCGGGACGTGTTACTAGACCCTTGAAAATCGGGACGTGCCGCGCAAATCGGGACACCTGGCAACACTAGCGGGGATCGAACCCGGATTGTTCGCGTTTACGGCGAGCACTACGCCCTTGAGCTACTCAACTCAAGCACGGCTCATATGTTCTATATCTGGGGGCACGGTAGTGCCCCCGCCAAGTCGAGCAAAACAGCGGCACGGCCGTATCATCATTGCGAGACTTGGTTATTTTACAAGTTATGTTTTTGATGGCATGTCTTTGTTTAATCATAACGTTATCTCCACACTAGGAATTTTTCCTAAGTACATCGTGGGGGCAGTTTAAATACATTAATTTCACAAGGACAAACATCCAGACCTGGAACAATTATTTGTAGGTAATACAAATTTTGGTTCCATGTGGGATTCGAACCCGCGGCGCTCAGCGCTACAACTCATTACCAAGTCACTCCGCCATGGAGCCAAAGGTGAAGGCCACGAGTTTGTATTTTTATTTGATCCGAATTGCTTACGTTCATTTCTCATTTCTAAAAAAATATGTATGAACTGAAAATTTGCCACCATTACATCATTTAATATTTAAATATTACAATCATGAACGTATTTCAAAATTACTTACTACCAAAAATATCGCTTATAAAAGTCTCAATCGTTAAAATGCTCGATGGTGCTATAGGTATCTAGTTATAGTATAGTGTACTATAGCCCTATCGGTGTATCAACGCGATCGCGCGGTGTCGGTGAGAAAAAGTAATACGTCCTGCCGTTGGGATTACCCGGAGCGTACTGAATCGAACGGCGTCTGCGTATGATGTTTTATAGTATTTTTAAAATAATTATATAAAATAATTGACAAAATAAAACGAGCTAAAATTTTTTTTGGATATTTAACATTACATGTATTTTGATAAAATAATTAAAATAGATATGTTTATAACCAAATACATGGAAAAAATTACATTGAAGTAGACAGTTTTGGTGATTTTATAATATTATTTTATAATATTAAATCGAAATATTTTCGTAATTTAGGTTTTGCTATACACTAAAAGACTATATATTCCATTATAATAACGCTTAAAATAAAGTATTTAAGCTTATAATAATGGTTGTATTCAACCTGAAAGATAACTCTGATGCATATTTTCGTAAAACGCTGTGAAGGGATTGTCTTCGCCCTAAAGAACCGTCATTAAAAACTATGATTTTGCATTGCTATGTACTAAATAAAGACTTCATCTTTCTAAAGCCCAGCAACAAATAATCTTTTGTCAGCAAATAATCTCCTCACGTCGTTACGATATCGCCTTTGGAAAAACCATAAAACATGTAGTTTTCGACGCGAAACGCATATGCCCTCTTAAGAAAATAATACATTGCAAGAAAAAAATACATGTATTATAATATTTCTTAGTGTTTCATTATTGTTAACTTTTATCACAATACGACAATAGGGCATCATTATCATATTTTGATATTTTCGAGTTTTGTATGTTCGAAATTGTTGATAATCGTGATAATAGTTTTTATGAAAAGATAAGTAGCAAGTGTAGCACCATTTTGAAATCTTAATTAAAAAGGCCATTTTTTGAAACAACTTGCCTTAGGTGGTAATTGTACATTGTTTTAAAGACAAAGCGTCAAAGTTATGTGTTACATCGTTTTTAACAATGCATGTTCGCATATTCTTGCGCAGTGTACACATACGGCATTTTGGCAGAACAATAAATAATAAAGTCCAGGGAAACGCAGCTAAAGTCGTCAACACAAATGCGACAACAAGTCCAGGCACATCTTTCTGTAGCGCTTACAGATACAATAATAAAGCGACAAAAGTACTATTCAGATAAAAAAAGTTGTTTGAAATTGAGTCCTTTTGGAAAAAATATGCAATAATATTTTTTTGGAGAGAAATTGCTGTACTATTTTGAAATTTTAATTGAATGGGCCATCTTGCCTACAGTAGTATATTACATTTTTTAAAGACAAGGCCTCGAAGTTATGTGTTAAAACGTTTTTAACTATATCTTAATTAAACTTTATTTTTTTTGTACTAAACTCAAAATATTAATTATTGGATTTGTGACTGTAATCAATAGCATAGTCATTTAGGATTACATTACAAAAAAAAAAAAACCACCCCCTGAAAAATTTAGACTGAAAAAAGAAATACAAACCAAAAACGCAACCCTTCAGGATTAAGATGAAATGCCTCATTTCCAGTAAAAAGTGTCTCCGGTCTACGGTTCTCTACACTCATCATACGAAGCACAGCAGCATTATGCTGCAATTTTACGCTGGTGTTTTGTGAGAGCACGGTCCTTCCCCGGTCGAGCCGACTCATTCGTGATACAACTATACTACTAATAAAGCTCTCATTCAGCAGGAATGGCTCTACCATGTACATAGTAAGGAAAAAGTGAAGTAATAACCTTCATACAACGCTCGGCTGGGTCTCGTGTTATTACTAAAGGAGGAGAATTCTACTCCTTCTATTTTTGTAATTTCTCGGATATTGTGCCATGTGCAGGCGGCGTAGTAAATTTCATCATTCCATTTTCTCGCTTGGGATCGTAAGAGGCGGCTATGCGAAATGACAAAGAGACTTCATGGTTTTCGACATATTAAGATTTGTCCAAACGAAATACTCGCATCGGCGAAAAGTAAGTAGCACAACATTGTACGAGACGTCTGCTACTGTGGTCACTAATACCTGCCAGGCGTGGCAATTGTGGCAAATTCTCTCTACAATGTGAGAAGATCATGGCCATATGGACTCTTTCAGACTGAGCATGATGATGAAGAAGAAGAATCAGTCGTGATATAGTCCGTCAATTAGCAAGGTGTATCACGAGCAGGTGAGGTTGGTTCTTACAGAAAAATATGATACGTCCTCACATGCATACATACAATATTATATGTAGCGGAACAAGTCATGAGCAGTCTTTACATGCCCAATAGTTGGTTTATAGGTCTCTTTGGTGCAGTACAATGGGGCGGGGTGGGAATGGTGAATATGTTCAGATGAATGAATGGTGATTGGTCCGTTAGTTAAATTTTTCGTTATCTATTGGATATTCACGTATTATTGTCTGCAGTATATTAGCTGGAAAATGTACATGTCCGAGTACTGTCACTTTTTTATATAGAATATGGATGACAAACGAGCACACAGTCCACCTGATGGTAAGTGGATGCTGTGGCCAATAGATGTCTACATTTATCCTCGAGTAAAAATCAAAACGCAGATGCGTTGTCACCCCTGAGGACTAAGATGGAATGCCTCGTTTCTAGTAAAAAAGAGTCTCTACACTCACCATACGAAATACAGCAGTATTAAGCTGCTATTTTACGCTGGTATTCTGTGAGACTGGTGTCGTACCCCGGTCGAGCCGACCCATTCGTGCTACAACCATAATATAACTCCAGCTTAGCTTTACCACATATAAAACACAACTCGCGCCGCTATTTATACTTAACCAAAATTAAAAAATAATGAGTTAATTTAGTATTTGCTTGGATTCAAATTCAAGAACCACCGGCTTTTGTATCTTACACCAATCTTTCGATAATTTATTCTTTTACAGAACGCCGTAACGATGTACACCAACATATTTCTTCTGAGCGTAAGCGGGTACATGGGCCTCCAGGCGGTGTTAACGTTGGTGAGGATCTGCGGAGCGACGGTCGCCGTCACCGTTACAACCATGAGGAAAGCCCTTTCCATCGTCATATCGTTCTTACTTTTCAGCAAGCCGTTCGTCTTCCAGTAAGTATACATATAGTTTAGTGGCACAGTAAAGAATATACCGGCGTAGTGGCGTGGTGAGAATATACATTATCCAATATCATCCCGTGAGTGTCGTAAGAGGCGACAGAGGTAAACAAACCAGGAGATGGGCAGCAGCGTTTTAAAAACAATAAAAAATAAAAACTATGGTTGCGTACCAGCTCGCCAAGCATATTGTTGCGGGCTATAATTAGCGCGCGGTATATGGCGGGTGAGTATTAGCGCCATCTGGTATCAAGCAGCAGAAATAGGTCTTTCTATAACTCTCCCACTAGCGCCATCTAGTATCGAATAGAAGAACTAAGCTTTCTAGAAAACTCGACTTGGAATTTTCTACATCTAGTCGGTCGGGACCGGTATTTGCTGGAACATTCTAGATGTTTCGGTGGAAAAGGCCTATATAAAGCCGTTTGGGGGCGAGACCGGGGCATTATTGAATTGGCGACACAAGCGAAGACTTCGGAGCGAAATAAAGTGAACTAAAGTGTTAAGTGTGATTAATTACTGGTGTGTTTTAAGTTTTAATTGGTGTTCGGTGTCGTAATTAAAGTGTCAATATGGGTAATTCAATCGGCAGTTTTTACTGTCATGAACCCTAAGCTCGTAACAATATCAACTATTGCGAAGGTCTATTTTCGGTAGTAGACTTTTGATAGCCTTTATTGGTATGGTACGGTAACAAAGTCTATTACTCTACTGCTCCATTTCGTGCCATGCTTATCGAAGTGCGACTATAGTAAATGACTAAAATATCTTATGACTAGCAGATTTCAATTGCTTTAAGCTTTCGAAAAGCAACTGCGCTGTATATATCTTTCTCTAATCTATATCTTAGAAATTAGTGTTTCTTTGTTTGTCCCGAATGCATTCTTACCATTTTTCCGATTACAATGAAACGGTGAGTGGTTGTGTGCGCGCCCTCGAATTCGTCTATTCACTTGCCAGGTGTGACGATTATAGCAAATACCTGCAATGAGAGATCCATGTATAGCGTTGGACTTTAACGAGCTGGTCATGATGATAGCTAAATGTAATCCATCGTAATTTAGTTCGTCCACTAGCAAGGATTGTCATTCAAGCAGGTTAGTTGTTAGAGAAAAATGTGATATATCAGCACATACATACAATATTACTCGATGTTTTAAAAATGAATAAGTTTCACTAGTTTAGTGTTTGCTTGTATTCGAATTCAAGATCCACCGGCTTTTGTATCTTATACTAATCTTTTTAAAGTAAAAACCTTCACTGTCCATCCATACATTTAACACGGTAGAGCCATGCTGCAGCTATATTAAATTTTATAGTTGTAGCACAAATGGGTCGGCTCGACCGGGGAAGGACCACGCTCTCACAGAGTACCAGCGTAAAATAGCAGCTTAATGCTGCTGTGTGTGTGAGTGTGGAGAACTGGAGACCCTTTTTACTGGAAAAGAGGCATGTCATCTTAGTCCCCATGGCTGACAATGCATTTGCATTTTGATTCGCAAACATAGATGTAGATATAATAATATAATAAATTATTTATTTCGTCAAACATTAATGTTACATTATATGATCAGTGATCGAAGTCACCTAATAAGCAAAAATAATGCCTGTAACAGGTGACTTCGCTCTTCCATAGCTAAGAATTACAATATTATTAACAAAATAAAATATCCTAAAGTAAATAATAAAGATGTCTATGGGTCACAGCAATCACTTACTACTGTGTGCTTGCTTGCTTGTCACCCTTATCCTATAAAAAAATACCCCATTGAATACACTGGTTCTCGTTCGAATTTGACGCGCTTATCTAGTGCGTGTTGGCGGACTTCACATTTCCTCGACATATTTTATTCCTCAGGTTGTCTTATAGGATGTTTTTCTCCACCACTTAGCTCGTATTAAATCAGCACTTGAAACTTGCAAATTAACAGGATCAAACCCGTCTTACTAACTAAAGCCTACTGTGAAATTAACGTTGAGCGCATGGCCTTTGAACTACCACGGCTCACGGAATTTTGTTTGTGTTTAGTTTTTATAATGATTGCTAACTATGACATCAGGACGTTAAGTGTCTCAGCCTAGGTCTCCCCTTGACTACAGGTGCTGTAAACACGAAACTTGAGGAATTAAAAAATTAAGATTAAACGCGATAAAATCCCTAAAATTAGTTTAGTTTTGTTTTACTTTTTAATTTCACTTTTAAATATTTTCAGGTACGTTTGGTCGGGATTGCTAGTCGCACTTGCAATATATTTGAATCATTACAGCAAGAAACATCCGCATTACGTTCCAATGCCCTTGCTACTGTGTTGGCATTATATTCAATCCTTCTATCAGTCCGAATATAGATACCTTAGGATTAAAAGCAAAATATACACTGACATCGTATAGGTTTATTTTTGAATAGACAATGATAGATATGTTGTGAGATTACGAAAATCATGTAAAATATATAATTTTTTTTTTAATATTTAAGCTAAAGTAAGACACCAACGTTTGCGTTAGTCGTAGCCATAATTCGTGTGGACGGCAACGATAATATTGTGTACTGGTTTTATAGAAGGCTTAATGATGTGCCGAACTGTTATCGAAAACTTAAAATTAGTTTGTTTTGTTAAATAAGTAATTTATTGATTAAATATTTATTACAATATTCAGAATTCTAAATAAAAAAGAAAACGGTACGTAAGTAACATTATATAATAACATAATAATATAATAGTAAAATGCATTTTTCGCTTTTCCGTATTTTAAATCAGACTTGTGTTTAAGTTATTCTAAATTCAGTTTGATTTAATAGGTAATGTAGAACTACAAGTGAACTCTTGATGGAATTTACTGAATTTGTGAGCTTGTATAGGTGTGTTATATCACAATAACATCGCAATCCGTTATGCATCGATTATTAAGAAAAAGCAACAAGTAGGTGTCGAAATTTATTTATTGACAATAAAATTAAATAAAATTCTAACTAACTTCATCAATAATAAACTTGGGCGACGAATTTACAAATTATACTTTTTAACAAACAAACATCGCTCTTAGTAACGTACGTTTTTAATTCACCGAATAAGCGTCCGCATGCGTAAAAAATACGACCAGCAAATGTTTCAATACACGCATCAACGGTACTTTCGTGAACTGAAACAGTGTAGGTACCCATACTATGAAAAATGCGAGTAATGAAATGCATTGTGTGTAACGTTTCGTTACTCGGTACTGAAGCGTGAACCCGTTACTCAGTACCCGAATACATACGGTTTGCTACAGCTTTATTGATTTCTATTACAATTTTTTAAGTTATATTACAATTATGCTAAATATAGTTATATTATAAAATGCATTAAGCATTATTTATGAAATGAGCCTGAGGAAAGTAATAAGAATATTAAAAAAAAAACAAATAAACTGAAAATTTAGTTTTCGGATCTCTATGATAGTCTTGAGCGACCGCGCTTATACTATCGACAATACTTACTGCACGTGCGCAACCCTAGTGCTTGATTGTTTAGTGGTTGTGACTGTCACGAACGTTGGCGTCTACGTTATAGAAGTTTTAAATATTTCTGACTCAAAACTTAATTTGATAATACTCTACTTGTAAATTTTTTTACATTACTGTATATGGAAAAATTATAAATATACTGGACGTCATTATTAGTTTTATAAAGTATTTTGAAATATATAGTTTTGTTCTTATGTCACAATTAAAAAAGGTTATTTTATAATTATTTCCTTTAAGCACATTGTCCAGTACTACACAGGTAGGAAAACACGTGTAAATGCTGTTATTGATCTGTCGAAGGCATTCTACCTGGTTAGATATGACATATTCTGGGTTAAGCTGACTGACGCTTTAAGTCATCTTAAAAAAGTAACACATGACAGAAAGACATGGTCTGCTGAGTCCTTCAATTGCTGCTCTCAGAAAACTAATCATAGTTTGTGAGCAGTTCACGGAATCACATGTAAAGAATTCATAATGTAAGGAAGAGCTAGTTTATGGTGTTCCGAGTGGAGGGACGTAAAGTGGCTTGTGTTTCACCAGTAATTTTAAACGGGGTGGGTCTTATGACAGTGATATTGTAAGAGAAAAGAGGGCGATGGCAGTCCGCTGCATCATGATGGCCGGCAGATTTGCTTCGGTGTGACGCAGAGGTAAAAATTGCATCAAAGAAAGTTGACCAGCTAAAATAGTCAAAGTCAACGTTGACCAGTTAATGTAGTCAAAGTCGACGTTGACCAGCTAAAGTAGTCGAATTAGGGATGCCAAATGTTGAAATATCCATTTATAAATTTATTTAATAAAAGCTGATTTCCAATTGTCAAAAAAATGTTATCCATCTAATAAATTATAACTTGGTTTAATATAAAAGTGAAACAATTGAACTATTTTACTACTTTATAGTCTAGGAGTCTCGGTACCGCCCTATTAACTGTAACATATGAGTAGATGAACGGAACGGAAACAAAGCTTCTTAAGAACGTGCAAAATTGTTAGCAATTTTGGTAGGGTTGTCACAATATGTGAAGACAAATTAAACAATACATATGTTAAATAGTTTTATTATTCAGTGTAATAAAATACTTTACAAATTACTTAATATATAATTTTCTTTTTATAATTTTTGTTTTTAATAATTAATTGTTTCTTTTAATGGTGTAGTAAATTCCGAATCTAACATAAAGTTCACTATAGTGTTCCCCCGTGAGAAGACTATCCTGTCTGCTGCAGCAGTTTACGCTGAAGATCATGTTGAGCAAACAAATTTAAATTTAAATGAGTCTATGCTACTAACCGTTAAAGAGTTCCCTCGTAAGGAGACAATGCTGGCTGCAGCAGCAGTTCATGATAAAAATCGTGTTAAACTATCAAAATTAAACTAGCATACAAAATTTCCTTACCCTGCTACTACCCTTTGAAGAGTTACCTAGTGAGGAGGCAATTCTGATTATATCTGTCATATTATTGCATTGTCACTGAAGTTACGCTATAGCAAATTTATAATCAATCAGACATCGGAAAGTGGTTCAAATCTTACAATATGTGAACTTAACACATACCTGCTACATACCAACCCACCCACATACCTACAAATGTTTAGAAAATCTTGTAATAAAAATATAAACGTAAAAATATACCTTGTATTACCCACTTCTTATTTAAAAAAAAGAGGATCATACATTAAAATAAAGTTACTTACTTGAAAAAGTAATGATCAAATATTTACTTACTAATATGTACTTCTTGGGATAGTTAAAATATGACACATTTTTATTTTTTTCTAGTATTATTCATACACACAAAACAAACTGGTTACACTCTCTTGTGCCAACAAACTGTGCGTTGTTATTATTGAACATTGAATGTGCGAGCATTTGGCGTCGTTTTATTGGAAATCTTCTCGCATACTCTTGCAGCAGCATTAGCGTTCCCGTTGCACTTAAACTTCTTAGGACTTCTACATGGGTAGCTATGGCTTGATCAGTACAAACACCCGTGTCTTGTGGCAAAAAAAGAAACAAAATGGCTGCCATTTCATCATGGAGAGAGAAAAAATATAGGGATAGTGATTTGTCGATAAAATTTACCGTATTTCAACCCCCAAAATCTCCGACGCCGATGAGTCACACATGATGGAGATGAGTGGACACATTGTAGACAAATTCAAAACATTTTTTTTTTCAATTTTTAAATTTAATTTAATTACAATATATATGTACCATTTAGACCACATAACCCTGTTGCTGTAAAAATTTTGGGATTTAAAAAAAAGTAGTTTTGACAGTCCTCTCTTGATATTAACCTAACGCTTCTCAAAGAATTCTGACGAGACCGAAACGTAAAAATCTGAGGGTGCAAGTTTATGACTATATGGTGGATGCATTAACACTTCCCAACAAAAGCTCTCTCAATTTATGCTGAGTGACCAAAGATGTGCGTGGTCTGGCGTTATCGTGATGAAAAACCACTCCTTTTCTATTGATCAATTCAAGACGTTTTTTCTCAACTTCTTGCTTGAGTCTCATTAGGTGTTGGCAGTAAAGATCCGAATCGATTTTGCACTTTTCATCACCAGTGATCAATCTTTTCAGAAATGGTTCGGTTTCATTACGTGTCAATAGAGAATCGCAAATGAGTACACGAATCATTCGGTTTCTTTCGGTGAGCTTGTGTGGTACCCTAATATCGAGCTTTTTTGTATAGCCAGATTTTTTTCAAATGGGTCAAAATTGTTTTGTGGTCAGTTCTCAATTCCTCGGCTAAGCTCCACTTTTTCAAAAATGGCATCGACTTATGAGGGCGACCGTCGCATGCTGCATCTTTGACATCAAAATTCTCAGGCTGAAAACGCGTAATGGTTCTTTGTGCTACTCTTACTGACACTGCATTAGGTCCATAAATATAGCATTGAGTCGCATTTTTCCCTTTTTTGTAAGATTACTTCCTTAGATTCATTCATTTTGGTGGATAGAAAATCAATTGAAAAATGGCGGGAAATGTTTTTACTTTTTCTTTTCCTTAATGTCTTATATGTATTGATATTAAACCAGCCAGCCACAAACAGTACAACCAACAAGATTTTTCTTTAGTTTTATACAATCAAAATACGAAGAAAGTTTTCCGAAGCCAGTACAATTTCAGGTTATGAGGCATTCCATCCAAGTCCTCAAAGGCGATATCGCATCTGTAGCAGCAATTTAGCAGCAGGCGTAGTACTGTGGTAGCGTAGACAGAGAAACCTATAGACTAATGATTAGCGTGGTCTCGAGTGAGAAAGGACGATAAAAAGGTTTTCAATTTGGTTTTAGGTTATACAATAATCTTTATGGCTTTTAAACATATTTAGATAAAATATAAACGCATATTTATATAGTTCTGTAAAGGAATTTATAATAATTGAATTTTATACGTGATACCAGATAAAATGTACAATACTTACGAGTGAAATGATATATCGGTGAGTTTACGTTCACTATCACTTTTACATCCTAAGCCACTACATCTAACCATTTTTAAAGTTTTTAATTGTTCTAAGAACTAAACTGAACAAGATTCACCAATATTAAGCTCACAAAACACTTTTTTTTCTCACTTAAACCAACTTGTAAACTCCTTAGATCGCTACGAACTGTCAAATTTGTTTAGCAAAGTGTAGTTTGCTAAACAAAAAAAACCGGCACGGAGAAAGGGACAAACAATCACACCGCTCTGTCTCATGCTCTCATGTCTATGCAAGACGTGTGCATGAATCTATCTTTTTCGTGTGCGAATACGAAAGAAGGCGTCAATTTGTCTATAGGTTTCTCTGTCTGCGTGTGGTAGCCACTTAGCATCAGGAGGAGTCCATCCTAAGTTCGTTTGTCACTTCAGTTTTTGAAAGTCATAC